TTTTCTCTATTGTTGCATGTTTATCAGAATGTGTCTTCTTCCTTTTACAGTTTCTCATGTCTGGTTGGGCGAACGGCTACACCTACGGGTGTGACCTCGTGGATTATTCCAGTTCTCCTCAGGCTCTCCGGGTATGTGAATGGAGCAAATTCTTGTAACAGTGCATTTGTTGCCGATGACGCGTGCAACAATTTGACACGTCCTTAACCATCTTGTTTCCTTGTAGATGGCATGGACCTGCTGGCTGTACTATTTCTCCAAGTTCATTGAGATGCTTGACACTGTAAGTGGGCTTCTTTTGTATTCAGAACAAGAAAATTAAGCCTTTCTAATGGACTATCAATGCTAAACATGTTCCTCGCCTTCATAGATTTTCTTTGTCCTGAGGAAAAAGAACAGCCAGGTTACTTTCCTTCACGTCTTCCATCACTCCATCATGCCCTTCACCTGGTGGTTTGGGGTCAGATTCGCCCCAGGTAAAGTATTATGAGACTGACACTTAAAGGGATCATTCACCCAAAAATACAAATTGTCCTCGCCTTCATTCCAAACCCATATAACTCTGGTTAATCTTCAAAACTGAGAGGTTTCTCCCTCCACTGAAAGTCCAGACAACCAAACTTGGATCCAAAAAGGCTTTTTTTTTTTTTTTTTTTTTTTTTTTTTTAAACCACTTGATTCATATGGATTTGTTTTACAACACCTTTATGATCTTTTCGGATCTCGCAAGTTTTTGTTACCTTGGCTTTCAATGGAGGGACCAAAAACTCAATCTCAATTTTGTTTTGACTATTAACCAAAGTCATATTTTATAAACCCACAAGGGTGAGTCAAAGACAAATTTGTAACTATTGGGTAAACGATCCCTTTAATTAACCCTAAATGAAAGCGCATTTACTCGTATGTATGCTAAAAATGGTCCTTATGATTTTTTTTTAAACCACTTGATTCATATGGATTTGTTTTACAACACCTTTATGATCTTTTCGGATCTCGCAAGTTTTTGTTACCTTGGCTTTCAATGGAGGGACCAAAAACTCAATCTCAATTTTGTTTTGACTATTAACCAAAGTCATATTTTATAAACCCACAAGGGTGAGTTAAAGACAAATTTGTAACTATTGGGTAAACGATCCCTTTAATTAACCCTAAATGAAAGCGCATTTACTCATATGTATGCTAAAAATGGTCCTTATGACTTGGTAAATATAGTACACTAGTCTTCTGAAGCCGGACAGCATGACTTGAAGGTGCTTGACAGCTGTGGTCTTCCACTTTGCTTGTATGCAAAGGATAAAATGTCTATGCAACTTAATTTTGTTCTCATTTTTGGGTCATCTATACCTGATGTTAAGTGTTAATGGTGTATTTTTATTTATTTATTTAGTAATTTAGCAGACGCTTTTATCCAAAGCGACTTACAAATGAGGACAATAAAAGCAGTGCATATTTTGCTTTCTTAGGTGGTCTGGGAACCTTCCATGCCCTGCTGAACTGCGTCGTCCATGTCATAATGTACACCTACTATGCTCTCTCAGCCCTGGGACCTGCCTACCAGAAGTACCTGTGGTGGAAAAAGTATATGACCACTATCCAGCTGGTAAGTTATAAGCTTATCTACCCATCTCCAATGTCCTTTGTTGAAATCCAGGCTTTTGACGTCTGAACCCTAAACTGGTTCTAACTCTGTTCTTCTGTTTATGTCAGATTCAGTTTGTGCTGGTCACCACTCACATTGGCCAGTTGTTCTTCATGAAGGACTGTTCTTACCAGTTTCCTGTGTTCCTCTACGTCATCGGTTCATATGGGCTGATCTTCCTGGTCCTGTTCCTCAACTTCTACTATCACGCCTACACCAAGGGCAAGAGGGTACCCAAGGTTCTCCAGAATGGAAACTACCTTCTCAAGAAATATGAGTGATTTTCCATTGGCCACCTAAAAGTGAAGCTCTAACCTATTAAGTTGGAATATTCCTTTTTATTTCATCCATTCAAGTTCCACTTCCCTGTTTTATGTTAAAACTAATGTGGAATACACCCACCTTATCACTGGATTTAAGACGTCCGAACTTGCACACTGGTGTTTCACTAGAGATGCTGTCCTCCTTTTTGTTTTTTGTTGTTTTTTGTGGTCGTCACTTAAGGCTTTGAAATGAGTATGGGGTGGGAAGTACAGTATTTTCATCCTATATCCTCTAATTTACCTGTAAATATTGAGTTTCTCCGCTTTGGAGTATGATTGAACTGCTGGCCAGATCTGAAAAGTTATGAGAGCAAAGGTGATTTGAAGTTTCACTAAAAGGGTTTTTGAAGGTTATGTTTGTAGCCTGAAGCCCTTTGACCCTTGAGGAACGCTTGACTGATCTACCTGGTTGTGCTCGAACCTGAACGTTTACCGCAGAAGTGACATCATCTGAAGTTATTTTGTCAGTGATTTATGCTGTGTGATTTATTTATTCTCTATTTAATGTTGCTGTTTTCTTAATGTGATCTTTTTAAATGATATTGATCTGTAGGAATTACCCATTATGCTTTTATGTTCTACTGTTCTAAGGAAGACCAGAACAATGTTACAGGATTTTTCCTTGTTTTTGTCTTTTTAAATTAACTTCCAATTCTGTGAAAAAGAAATTGAGTTTTATAGTGAAACAAAATAAATTATTTGTCACTTTCTCTTGGTTTTCTTGTGCTTTACGAGTGTCTAATTAAAAAGTAATGCATTACTTTACTAGTTACTTGAAAAAAGTAATCTGATTACGTAACTCGCGTTTCTTGTAATGCGTTACCCCCAACACTGGTTATGCTGAATGATGATGGAACAGTATTTCACCCATATTTTGACATTTTATTATGTCAATTAATATGCTTTCTATGTATATAAAATCGCTTTTGTAAATTTAATTTGTTGCAGACACCAAAATGGGCCTTCTCGGACGTCTTTGACCCATAGACACACCAAAATATTAATTAAAAGAACTAACACAAAGGTGTTACAATGTAAATGCACCACCTCTCAACAGTTTGCAGTTAAAACAGCATTAATGGTAAATTCAGATTTTTTTTCCCCCAGTGGAATGAGACCATTAGGCTCTTCCGTGGTGGAATGCCAATCAGACGTCACTGGGCTCATTTCAGGAGTTACGATCACAGTTTCACAGGAGCCGAGGCTGTCGATTTCCTCCACGAACTGCTCAGACAAAACCAGAACTTCGGACCGGAGGTGACGCGCTACCAAACGCTCCAGTTACTCCGAAAATTCCTCAAAAATCACGTCATCGAGGACGTCAAAGGCCGATTTGGTAAAGAGGACTTCGAGGACAGTGGACATTTATACAGGTGCTTTCTTTCAAAAATTACATTTACAACATTATCACTGTTATTTTCCTCTTCATTAATGTGAGGCTGCTTTAAAACAATCTGTATTGTATAAAGCGCAATAGAAAAAGTATATATTATATATATATATATATATACAGTATATATATATATATATATATATTTTGCATTATAATAAATAATAAATGTTTTTCTAAATAATAATAAATGCTTTAAATGTGTCAGATTTCCCCCACAATCACCTCTAAAGCCCGTTCCTGTGCGTCTACCTGTAAGAGATCACCGCTCAGTACCCAGAATCCCACGCTGGGACGATTATGAGGAGATAGCAGTGCCGGAGAAGATCCCAATAAAGCCTCTTATGGTACATTTGGCTGTGGAACAAGTTTGGAAACATTACCATTTTTAATGGTTTTAATGAAGTCTCTTATGCTCACCAAGGCCACATTTATGTGCCTATATAACAGTAAAAACAAGTAGCACAACTGTTTTCAACATTGTTACATGTGTGTAGTTTAAAGGCACAATATGTAAGATTTTGTTATTACTTCGGCTTTGGGGATGAAGACGACAACTCCCATGATTCCACACTCAGTCACGGCGTCATCAAACTACGCCTTTGTTTCTTTGTTTGTTTTGAATACGCGCCCTCTAGTGGCAAAAAATTACATATTGTGCCTTTAATTGGTTATTTTTTCCCTTTTGTAATGATTTGTTTCGTCTTATGAGCAGATCCTCTACACCTGTGGACCATACGAGCGTGGCTATAAGAAGTCTCGTTGCCACATCGGGGTGGCAGGATTTTTAGTGGAGGTCCAGTTGCGCTACCATTTGTTTTATTTTCTGTTTTCCCGACTTTTTCTCCGGCATGCTATGTTAGGTTATTGTATTTGAATAAATTCCCCTTTTGAACAGAGCCTTTTGTGTTGACCCCTTTTGTGTTATGGCTGTGAGCCTAACATAATTGGGCGTCAACACAAAAGGCTCTGTTCAATAGGTGAATTTATGATAATAAGAAGAAATATTTTTGAGCAGCAAATCAGCATATTTGATTATTTTCTGAAGGATCATGTGACACTGACTGGAGTAATGATGCTAAAAATTCAGCTTTGATCACAGGAATAAATTACATTTTAAAATATATTCAAATATAAAATGGTTATTTCAAATTGGAATAATGTTTCACAATATTTCTGTTTTTACTGTATTTTTTGATCAAATGTATGCAGCCTTGGTGAGCAGAAGAGACTTCATTATAAACATTAAAAAAAATCATACCAAACTTTTGACAAGGACTGTGGAACTTTACGTTCATTTTTTTTTACTTATATACTTTGATTTTGATCTAGAATTCCGAGTCGTGGAATAAGAGGCACAGCATCGCCATCGGTGAAGTTCCTGATTGCCGTTTAATCCGGAGGAGAGAATTAACCCCGAAACACATGGACCAGATATGGAAGTCAATGACACTAACACAGTAAGCATCAAAAGAGAAGCTCTATTCCTGCTCAAAAAAGGGGTTTTGGTTTTAAGATGAACTCTTTTATTAGTTTACAGACTGTTTTGGGTCTCCAGTCTCTGGACGGAGTTTTAGATGCCAAACTTCTGAGCCCGAAGCACATCGTTCACAATGTGTTTGGTGTTAATAAGCAGGGGATTGTTGTGCTGAAGAACAAAACAGGCAAGCAGAGGTTATATTTTAACACATGAAATGTTCTTACAGCTAATTTCTGACGGATCTCTTTCTGGGTGTTGTTTCTGATCTATTTTCTGTAGAGGACTTGCCTCATTGGGTGTTATCTGCAATGAAATGCCTGGCAAACTGTGAGTGACTGATCATCTGCTGCCATAATGATTCATATCAAAGACACAAATATTCAATAGATAATGCACTATTAAAGGGGACATCAGATGAAATGTTCACTTTTTTACTTTTTTTGGTTTAGTTAGGTGTCTGGTGCATCTGCCAGCTCAGAAAAGCTGAAAAGAAAACATGCAGCCAGTTTGTTATGGGCTGTCTGAGTCTTAAACTGTGTCATCCAGCGAGCGGTTTCAATTTGCAGCCGGTTTCTACGTAGATAGCTGGCTATTTGAATTAGACCACATCTGAGTCATATATGGAGACCAAGGCAGCAATTCACGCGCCTTGAGTCCACACGCCCCATGGAAGAGAGGGGCAGGGTGAGCAGAGCTCATTATCATTTAAAGAGACATGCACCAAAATGAGTCTCTGTGAACAGAGCTGTTTTTGGCAAGGTAAAAAGGGTGTTGTTTTACACGACTATTGAGGAATTTTAACCAAAGTATGTTACAGACATTTCACGAAGACTCTAAAGAATCATACCAGCTTGTGGATAATGGGCATCCGATGTCCCCTTTAACAATCACAATAAACAATTATTTTGCCATGCAATATAATTAATTAGCCTTTGTGTAGGTTGCCAAGCTGCTTATTATATTAATATTGAATTAAATATGATATCTGTATGCATATATTATAGTCCATCTTTAATTGTGTATTAACTTTTAAGCATCTCTGCGTTGACATCATTTTAGGGCCCAATGGCAGTGAGGCCAGGCAGCCCATGTATCCAGGGTTTGAGAGAGACGTCTTCAGGACAGTGGCAGAACATTTTCAGAGACTGAAAGAGCCACTTTTGACTTTCCATCTGTATGAAATATTTGTCAGTATTTTGGGTGAGTGATGCACAAGCTATTCACATGATCAGTGCTGGATGTATTTAATCAGTCATTACTTGTACATTTTGAGATTATTAGGATGAGCGAAAACAGTCTGAATTTATAGTTCCCTGTTTTCAAATATCTTTGAATGAATTCTGAGCAAATATTGAGAATAAATAAATAAAAATGTATTTGCATTAAATATACACTACTATTCAAAATTTTGAGGTCAGTAAGTTCATACTTTTTTCATACTTTCATACTTTTATTCAGCAAGGATACATTAAATTGATCAAAAGTGACAGTAAAGACATTTATAATGTTACAAAAGATTCTATTTCAAATAATTGCTGTTCTTTTGAAATTTCTGTTCATCAAAGAATCGTGACAAAAAGAAATGCATCACAGTTTCCACAAAAATATAAAGCAGCGCAACTGTTTTCAACATCCCTTTTGATCAAATAAATGCAGTGTTTGGGAGGATAAGATACTTCTTTCAGAAACTTTTAAACGATCTTACTGACCCTAGGTTGTATATCATATAATACACAGTATTACAGAAGTGTGTAATATATATATATATAGGCATCAGCTATTGAAAAACACACTTAAACACCAATACCTAGGTTAAAGGATTATTCGTTATTATAGTTCATTATTCAAAAAAATGAAAGAAAAAAAAACATGTAAAGATTCACAGCACTTAGGCTCTGAATGAGTAGAAATTCTAATTCTGTGTTAATTAGGTGTTCTTGTAACTTGTTTTCCTCCCGCAGGGCTTCTGCAGCGGCAGTCGGTTGCGGTTGAAGCGCTGCAGGTCTGCGGCCTCCTGCTGCCTCCAGCCAACCATCGTAAACTGCAGCTGTTAATGCGTCTGATGGCTAAAGTCTGTGCCAACCCCTCTCTCCCACCTCTGAACGACACCATAGGAGCACGTACCCTGGTAAATCACTCACCTCCTCAGATAGATGTTCTCTTTACAAGTTAATTATTTGCCAAATAAATGATAGTCCTTAAACATTATGGTTAATGTATAATTCAGCTCAGCTTTCAGTAGATTTGATGAGCAGCTTTCACACGGTCTGTCTCTTGTGGGTGCCTTCCTTCGCTCCTGTGCAGATGGTCCAGACCTTCTCGCGGTGCATTCTGGGATCTGCGGATGAGGTGGACTTGGACGAGCTGTTGGCCGCCAAGCTGGTCACGTTTATGATTGATAACCACGACAGTGTGCTAAAGGTGCCATCCAACCTGCGAAAATCTGTCGAGGAGCATCTGTCTCACCTCAGAAGAGCCCAGGTCAGCATCCCACGTCGTTCATTGATGCTTGATAATTGATTGAAAATATCATGAAACGGCACCCACAACAACTTCTTTGGTGTATTTCTGAGAGAAAATATGAAGTGGGAATTCATGTAAAAATTATTGTAGATATTTGCATTAATTGGGATTGTATTATATTATTTGGTTTGATATTTTTCTTGTCCATCCACACACCATCAGAGAAGAATTGGTAAAAATAAAAACAGTAAGACCAGGAAAATTTGGTAGCACTTTTACAATAAGGTTTCATCATGAAATAATTACATTAGTTAAAATGAAGTAACAATGAACAGCATTTAGGAATTTTAATGTTAATTTCTACATTTACTAATACATTTTTATAATTCAAAGATCTGTTAACATTAGTTGTGAACACATGAACACGCAATGAAACATTAAAGGAATAATTCACCCAAAAATGAAAATTTGCAAAAAATTTACTCACCTTCAGGCCATCCAAGATGCAGATGAGTTTGTCTCTTCATCAGAACAGATTTGGAGAAATGTAGCATTGCATCACTTGCTCACCAATGGATCCTCTGCAGTGAATGGGTGCCGTCAGAATGAGAGTCCAAACAGCTGATAAAAACAATATCTGTGTGTTTGTAAGAAACAAATTCATCATCAAGACGTTTTTAACTTCAAACAGTCACTTCTGGCCAAAATACAAGTCCATAATCTATAATAAAGCTTCCTCCATGTTTTGGACCATTTTCACTTCTAAACGGTGCTTGATCTGTGCATATTTCTCTCCTGATTCAGACAAGATGACTTTTTCAGAAAGCAATATTATGGATTATGGACTCTAAATCTGTTCTGATGAACAAACAAACTCACCTACATCTTAGATGGCCTGAGGGTGAGGACATTTTCAGCAAGTTTTCTCTTTTGGTTATTCCCTGTTGTTTTTGTCTTTTTTCTTTAAGTAAATGAAGTTTTTCAGAGATGCAAAGGTGAAATTTGTTAAGTAGCTTTTTTTTCCTGTTATGAAGTGAATGAGCTTTGAATGTTCCTTTCTCACCCCACATTCTGATCTCCTCGCATGCTTTGGTTTCTTCAAGATAAAGTACGCTGGGACAGACACGGACACCTCCATGGCGTCTCCACCTCACTCGTTCTGCAGACAGATCAGCAGAGAGGAGTTTGAGCTGCAGAGGGTCTCTGGATCTCAAGGAGCCATGGTGGAACTACTGGAGAACATCATAGAAGACAAGAACATGTCTATCAAAGACAAGAAGAAGAAGCTGAAGCAGGTAAGAACGGATCCTTTTTACATTACTTAGGGACTAAAGGGCTATCTGTCACATGGTGTGCATTACTACAGGAAAACTGTGAAATGTAATTATTACAGTAGACTTATAATGGTGTGATTGAATTGAGTTATGCTGTCTTTATAGAGCTTGATTTGTTTTACCCTGAACATTTCTTTAAATGTCGAACTACATGTTGTTCTAAAAGGCCGACGTGTTCAGTAACCCAACCGCAAATTTCAGAAACTTTGAAATCTGTGATACACTCTGTTTCTTTTCCCCTGTGTGATTTTTTTTTTCTTAACTGTCAGTTCCAGAGATCTCACCCTGACATCTACCGTAGACGCTTTCCCACCGCTGAAAGCGAGGCGGCGGTTTTCCCAGAGAGACCCCAGAGACTCAAACCTCAGCTGATGTTCCTCACGCTGAAAAAACCCTTCCAGCCCTTCCAGAGGAGCTGGAGCTTTCGGGCTTGAGTCAGCGCTCAGAGTGCTCAGTTTGACGCTAGGGACGACCGTGTTAAGTATTATTATCAAGGAGAGATGTTACTGAATATTAAAGGTTGCATTCTGCTAGGACATCCTGAATCTAAATAACACTAAATTCACCTCATCAGTGATCAGATGGATTAAATAAAGTATAATGCTGTGCATTGGAGCCTTTTAGGACAAGAAAGAAGACATTACAGGCAAAACCACTGTTTTTTCATGCACTAGTCAATTTTGAGATTTTTGACTATTTTTGCTTTCTTAAAGGGGTCCTATTATGCTTTTTCACTTTTTCAACTTTAGTTAGTCTGTAATGTTGCTGTTTGAGCATAAAAAAGATCTGCAAAGTTACAAAGCTCAAAGTCCAATTCAAAAGGAGATATTTTATTTAACAGAAATCACTTTTCAAAAACTACAACGAACGACTCGTTTGGACTACAATGCATATTTTCCGGGATTTGTGATATCACAAGTATCGACGAATGGGACGAGACCTGGTTGAGCTGCACTAGAGAAGGCAACGAGTGTTATCACTCTGTCGGAGACACGCTAGCTTTCCCAAGCCAGACGAACTTAGAGTGGTTACAATCATCCGGGTTTAAATCGCACTCAAATTGATTTGATTTTGACGCAATATTTACACTGAAGCTCGTAGGTGGCTATGGTAAGGGATTAGTACACCCCCAAAACAAAATCAAGACTTTGTAAAAGAGCATAATAGGAACCCTTTAACATGCCTACTTTCAGACTAGTGGAAAGAAAACATCCAAAATACACATTTAAGTGTTTATTTTATTACACTTTATCTATTTGCATTTGTAGATTTCAATTACAGTGCATATCTGTATTAATGTCGTGAGTTTTTTTCTCCTTTGTTTCTGGCTGTTTTGACAGTATTTTCTGATTTATGGAGTGATAAAAGGAAAAATCCCAAATCCCTTCTTTAAAAACCTTTAACTCTAATATGTCAGCATAATGAAACCAGAATTTTAAACCTGGCTTTATCTAATGTCTAGTTCCTATTTTGGAAATGAATGCAAATTAGTGCATATGTAAATAGATAATACTTCATTTGCACATTTAAACATAACATTTCAGAAATGTATCAAAATTCCCTATTCACCTGTAGTGTCTTGTGTAGGAATGGGCCTGAAAATAATAATAAAAAAAAGATTTATCTATAAAATAACATTTCATTATAACCAGAAACGCACCCAGAGGGCCTCCATAGTGCTTGTTGATTTTATTTGTTTGATGTAAATAATCTGCAACATTTACAATCAGTTGCGTTCTATTTTTAAGGAGCTGTAATTGGTTTAGTTTTACCTCCAGCTGCAGGTGTCGTCTATCAGCTGTTAAGTTCTCAGTCCTGCTAGATCATGCTGTCACTGATAATCAGCCAGAGGAAATAAGTGCCGGTCACCAGAAAATAGCTTTTGAAAACTCTGATTTTATACTTTGAATAGATTTATAAGTTCTGTCAGGTAGATGTCTGTGTCACAGCAACTACTGAGGCACTACAGGCTACAGTATATTTCTATCTCGCTGTGTTTTTATACTTCAGTGTTCTCTGTTTTCACTGGTTTGTATGTGATACTCTTGTCCATGTTTATTTGGTTCTTTATTTGTATTGTATTTGGTTTTAAAGTAGTTCTAGTTTGTCATGTTTGAACACGTCACGTAGCATTAAAACCTTTACATTTTATCACTTGAGTATTTATAACTGATTGTGTTCTACTCTGTCATGGTACTGTAAGTATATCAAAAAGATACCGTTTAAATCTTCACTGGTATTCTCTGTAAACTGGATTCAGCTGGCAGCTTTTACATGTTTTTATGTGTTTCTGAAATAATGGATTTTAATTTTAATACAATGCTGGATCGAATTCAGTGTCATTCTGTATCACTTTTTCAAAGTTTTGTGTTTTGATTTTGTACAGATTCTGGAGTTATTGTTACTGATTTGGACGTCTGCACTGTGATCACAAATATGGAATTGGAAAAAAAAATAAATCGATATAATTACATGATGTTATCTTGCACTTTTTTTTTTTCTTCAGCCTGTTTACATAATATTTCAGGCTGACAGACATGCTAAACATAAACCAATAACTCTACCACTACAACTGAAAGGCAGATGCAGGGTTTATGCAGGTCTTAAAAAGGTATTAATTCACCCTTCCACAAATTACGGTCTTAAAAGTCTTAAATTCATAAGGTCATGACATTAAATGTTGCATGCACTGCAAAAATCTTCCAGTATTTTTGTCTTGTTTTCCAATTCAAATATCTGGACATTCTTAAATCAAGATATATTTGTTGTTGTTTTTGTTTTTGTTTTGTTTTTTTGCACTTACTGTTTTTTGTCTTGTTTTCCAATTCAAATATCTGGACATTCTTAAATCAAGATATATTTGTTGTTGTTTTTTCTTTTGTTTGTTTTTGTTTTGTTTTTTTGCACTTACTGTTCAATAAACCATATTTTTGTCCTGAGGTGTATTTCAGCTTTCTTACTCAAGAGGTCAGTAGAGAACTAATAATCAATCTCTTTTAGAAAAACATCATTGGAAACCTGCTGTATTTTCAGAAAATTAATAATAATAATAATACTTTTAAAAGAGTCATCTGTTTTCCATTTTCCCTTTCATTGTTCTTTTTATCATTATCTTATAAGCATTTTGCATATAAAAATAATGTTACAATGCTTTGGTAATACTATACTCCAATTGTCATGCCAACAAAGCTTAACTGAACTGAACTGAAACCGAGACGTTTCAGAAGGTCATTCGTGTCCAGCATTGTTCACTCTTGTGTGCACAATGGCATATGATCTCATATGAACCTACAGCTTCATACAGGTTAATATTAGTAGATACATCTTTCAAGTCTCCTATAATACACCTCAAACACTCTCATGTCCTTCTGTAGTGTGGCATTTATACAGCAACAAAGAGACTTGCTGCCAAAGACATGGAAATTAAACCCTAATAGCTTATTTCTTCATGTTGCACGCACATCCTCATGTAAATGTGGCCTGAAATGCAGTAGTCAGAAGCATAATGCCTGCTAAATCCACACGCTTCTAATTATGTCTAAAAGGAGATGCAATTGTACAAATAAATCAAATGAAACCGGTGGTAATTATGCTCACAAATGAACATAATTATCCATGTGATTTCACGCATTATATTTCTTACTTCATGAGCCAGTCACCTGACATAAACAAAGTACATGCATGCGGTGAATTCTCTGTGTGATGTGTGTCAGAGTTGAAACAGACCTTGATCGCGCAGAAATGGCCCACCAGGCCTCGGCCTCCCCTGGGCTATTCCAGGTAATCAGATGCTGTCGGCACCCAGGTTTCTGCATTAATTATATCTCTTTAAGCGGCCTGTTCAAAGGCAGTGAATCATCCGCCAAGTTGAAGATAGAGTTTTTGAAGGTCACTTTCCTTTCTAGCCGGTGATCAATATCTAAAGCCTCCGGGGCGGGCTCCATCCAGGTTCAGCTCAGCCGGAGACAAGAGAGAGACGCTGGAGTTTAAATATAGCAGAGCATGAGAATACAGTGCAGAAGCATGTGATAAAAAGTTCCATATTGTAATCAAAAGAACCCTAAGGTTCTGTGCAGTCAAAAGGTCAAAAAGTTCCTTTAAAGTCATTACGACATTTCATGAATTTTAGTTTTGATTTTAGCTGAGCATACAGTATACAGTATGTTGAATGATTTATTTAAAAGTTTCATCTACATGGCTTATCAGCATTACCATAAAACATCATGCTATAGTATATAAAATAAATTTTTCTATGACACTTACTAGAGATACAGATCAATGTTATTTTAGTACTGGATTGTTTAAGGGGAAATTTACAGTAGTATCACTGAGATACTATAGTTAACGTTTTAGAAATGATTATGTGTGGTTTCATTTTTAGTTATTTTTGTCAAGTTAAACTAAATGAAAATGAGAAATGTTGCCTTGGAAACGAACTGAAAAAAAGTTTAATTTTATTACATTTTATATATTTGATTTGATTTCAGTTCAGGGTTTATATCATTAACTAAAACTAAAACTATTAAAATATTTTTGTTAATTAAAATAATGCTCAAGTAAAATATAAGTATTAGATGAAAACAGTTAATTGCCAAGGCAATATTTCTATTATATTTTCGTTTAGTTTGTTAAAATTCCTAAAAATAAATAAATAAATATATAAATAAAAACTAAAAATGAATTAAACGAAAACTAAAATTAAATTAAACCTAAATAGTAATAAAAAACTAGTAAAATTGACAAAACCTCATAACAAAATTACTAATAATTTAACTGAAATAAAAACAAAAACTGAAATGATAAAATTAAAAGCAATTCAAAATATTAATAAGGACTATAATAGTATATAAATAACTAAAATAACACTGAGTTAATGTTTGTTTTATTTCCAGTAATGTTTTTTTTTGTGGTTTTAGTTTTAGTTAACTATAACCCTATACAAACACATGCAATATATTATGCAATCACATCAATATATAATGCAATAGATAATACATTTACAATATGATAGCAAAAGTTAGACAGTGATCAAAATTACCTTCAAAATTGACACTGAATATAGAATTAATAAATGTAAATTCATTTTCTGGAAGAGTTCTTTATTTTTTTATTGACTGGTTTTAGGAGATGAATAAAGACCATTGGTTTTGTTATAGAGTCCCAGTAAAAAAAAAATTCTTATAATCAAGCATTATGCTTGATTTATTCAGTGAGGATGCTCAAATTCTACATTCAGTGTATTTTTTACAGTATTGTACATTTTAATACGTCTCAATATTAAATAAATGAGTCTGAAAATAAACATAACATTAAAATACTTTGTAAAAAATACCATAGCAAATTTTAACTGTGCTTTTGCAGCCAGTTTATTAGGATTTCATGCATGAGTAACTCATCCTGAAATCGCAAATAACTGAAAAACGATATTTTTGTATATCATCATCATGAACTGCTCCTGTATCTGTGAACGCAGACTGAAATTGTTGCGTGACCTGCACAACAACACTGCAGGCATCATACCATGTTCAGTACTAGTAGGCCTATCAGTGAGCGTATTGATCAATATTTGCACCAAACTGGAGTTTTGCCAGCCATTCATCACACTAAGTTCAATGATTCAGTCTGACAAACAAAAGCACGTCTGTGTTGCACAACAAT